ACACACAAGGAATTTGTCTTGGTGCAAATGCTCTCAGTGTACATAAAAGAAAAGATACATTTGTCAAGAGTCAAGAATCATCAGGTACAACACTTAATAATAGTCATAGGGTACAATAAGCAATCAAAGCATACTAGGAAACAGTCAATATAAATCGTAAGGATACAAGTGACAAAGTTACAGTCATATAGTCACAAGTGGGAGGGGATGGGTGATAAGGAGTGATGAGAAGATTAATAGTAATAGTAATGCAGACTTTGTAAATAGTTGACAGTGTTGAGGGAATGATTTGTTTAGCAGTGATGGCTTTCGGGAAAAAACTGTTCTTGTGTCTAGTTGTTCTGGTGTGCAGTGCTCTATAGTGTCATTTTGAGGGTAGGAGTTGAAACAGTTTATGTCCGGGATGTGAGGGGTCTGTAAATATTTTTACAGCCCTCTTTTTGACTCATGCAGTGTACAGGTCCTCAATTGAAGGCAGGTTGTAGTAATTGTTTTTTCTTATATCTGACCCGGGGTCCTGCTCTGGAAACAGCGAAGAACTGGCCTGCGTGCAGCCCCGCTCCCCCGAGCTCTGTTTTCGCTGGCAGAGAGTTACAGGATGCTGTCACAGCTGAAAATGGAGCTCAGGAGTCCGTCTTCTGTGGCAGAGCTAGTCTCGGGCCCCCACAGGCTCCCCTGAAATGAGTGGTGTTGATCTAGCCAAGTGCCCCCTGGCACCCCCCCCAGGTCAAACACAACTCTGATGCGGCCCTCAATGAAATTGAGTTTGACACCCCTGATCTAGGGTCAAAAAATGCTCTACTTTGGAGCATTTCCTTCAAGAAACTACTGAGGAGCATAGTTTGGAAAAGGAACAAGGCAGTCCAAAGTTCTTCTCAATATTATGTTCCTGAATTGGAAAATTTTAGATATACATGCCTTGTCTACTTTGCTCCTCAGCTAAGAAATCTCCTAGCAGGGCTGGTGGACCAGTAACAAGCCAGCCTTCCCATCATTCCAACTTAAAACTATAAGAGTTAGTTTCCGGGTTGAGCCCTCCTCGCTGACAGACTGTAGATCGTGACTGTCCGCAGCTATGGTCTGTGCTCTTTCGTTGGAGAGCCCCGATCACTGCGATTAGGGGCTGAAGCTGCCTTGGAGGGGCGGTGGAGTAAGGGGAAGCCACAAGCCAGGTTGAGGGGAGCCGCATCTCCCCTCCTGGGCTTGGTCTTTTTCCCCCTGAAGACGACTGCAGTGATGGTTTAAAATGGCCACCCCGAAGAGGAGGACTCAGCTGGATTAAGATTTGTGCAGGGGGGGAAGAAAGAGGTGGATAACATCTGAACCAGGACAACTGGGCGAAACAACTAAACAAAAAGTACTCCGGGATTAAGGTAACATTGAACTTTTAAGAAAAGAAAAGTGAGCGGCGAAAATACAAAGGGACAGGAAAAACAATAAGCAAACAATTTTGACAGCTAAGCAGGGCTTCGAACCGGGAAAGGAAGAAGCTGGAACTAAAGACTTAATTAAATTGGACTAAAATATTTTGGCAATAAACAGGCATAAAATAAAGCTGGATTTAAGATTGTCAAAAAATAATAATAATAAAGTTTACAAATTGGAGACTGGACTGTGTTGGAATATTGAGGTTCGAAAAATCCTAAATAAAAAAATAGGGGGAAAAGGTGAAGACTTTGTATAATGGAGAGTGCCACCTTTTGACAAAAACTTAAGCTCAAACAAGGGAAAGCATCCTGTTTCTGAATGAACTTGTGTTGATATAATGTTAAAGAAATATTGAAACAAGGTAAGAATCTTAGAAAGTGAAAGCTGAACCAGAATAAAGAAAGAAGCAAGGAAAGACTGATTGTGGGATTGATTTATGTTTTTGGTATAGATCCTGGGCTGGAACAATTGAGAACTTTAGAAAACTGGGAGAAGAAAGAAGGAAAGGAAAAGTGTTTTTTGTGGACTTCAACGATTATAAAATATAAGAGTGTGTAATGATGATATCTCTTTGGGAATTAAAAATAGAACTTAAAAATATGAGAGAATTACTACAGGAAAGAGGCGAATCACTTTGCTCTGTGTTAGAAGAAATGGAAATGGCGATTGAAGAACAAGAAGAAAGAGCTTCAGAGGAGGAGGAGTTGATTCAAGGAGAAGACATTTTAAATAGACAATTAACACAAAGAACACTACAAAGACAAGGAGAAAGAAGGAAGGCTAAAAAGTTGAGATTTAAGAAGATAATCAAAAAGGGGAATACCTGTGAAATCAGGAGAGGTAGAAAGATCCAGCAGAAAAGGGGGAAGAAAGATATCAAGAAAGAGAGGGGTATAAACTGGAATGAGAAAAGATATGGGAAAAAGAGGGGGAGGAGAGGCAGTAAGAAACAAGTACATGAAATAAAGAAATACGGAAATAGTAAAATGATGAAAAGAAATTGTTTTTTCAGAGATAATGGTTGATGAATTAAAAAGGGGATTCTGCAGGGTGACAAAGGGTAACAAGAATATATTTGCAAATAAAAAATATACTTAGAAAATAGGGTAATATAGATTATTAAAGGAGGGATAGATACTGATAACTCTTATTAGATGAAATACATTTTTATTTTTAAAAGAAAAGTTAAGGTTTATTGAAGAAATTGTAATAATTGAAATGAATGTGAAGATGTTTAAAAATGAGGTCAATATCAGTGACCAGAAATTGAATAGTCGATTTTTTCCCTTTTACTTTTTTGAAATTAGAAATAAAATTAAGGGGGGAAAATATGTTGCGGAATCCAAATGAAAAGATGTAATGATTATTATTGTAACTACTTAAAAATAATGGTTTATTGGGAATTAAGATGAGGGAATAAAGGTATATTTTAACCACTGAGGTGTCACACTCAAAGCAGTAAAAGGGGGGAAGCCTATACTTGTTTCTTTTTCTTTTGTGTTAAAACTTGTATTAATTTAGAATCTATAGAAAGAATATGTGATGGAAAGAAAATATGACAGATTAAAGAACTACTTAAATTAATAAGCTAATACGGACTATTAAAAGGAAGGAGAGACATTGGTAACTTTTTTTATTAGGCAAACATATATTGTTATTTTTATTTTTAAAATAAATATTAAAGGATTATATTTGAAATAATTGAAATGAAACGAAAAGATGTTTTGATTGAGATTAATGTAAGAGACTAGGATTAATTTGCTTGTTTCTCTCCTTTCTGAAAGTTTGGAATGGAAAAGGTAATAATAGAATTAAATGTCCATATATGAATGTGTAACTACTGTCATATTTGTATGTAAAACTGATGACCCGGAAATATGTTGTCCACTAAAAAGAGCTTTTTGTTTTTATGTGAAAAACTGAATAAAATTTGTTTTTTTTAAAAAAAACTATAAGAGTTACAGAAAAGGGGAAAAAATGGAAGAAGAGAGAAGAGGGAAAGCATGGGTTTTATTTATTTTTTCATTAAATAAAGAAATAGTTTTCATTAATAAAATGATTCACATTTTTCAAACTAAGAAGTGCTCCAAAAGAGATAAAACCAGCATTCCAGACAGATAAAATTGTCAAGTGATGGTAACCAGCATGCAAAGGAAGTATGTAGGCTTCAGATCTGACTACTTACTTTTTGCGTAGATGGTGTGGATACTGCAATACCCATCCCAGATCCTGGGAGAACAGAAAGTACTTTGTACTAAAATAAAACATAAAAAAAAACCCAATTTACATACTGAATACTTTCACATGCAACAGAAAAAGTAGGTTTCACCAGTGCAGAAATTTAAACGATATCTTATCTAGATATCCAAAGCTCTTAAAATAATGTATTAAAGTGTAGAATAGCCCACATCTATATGTATAAAAGCAAAATACCACTCATGCATCATCACAAAATCTCCAGAATCGTAGAGCCTACAAACTTGAAATGTGGCACTTATGTTCCTCTTGGCTTCTGGGTGCTCACTAAGAAAGGATTTTTCAAAATGACCTTCAGAGCATTAGTATTTTATTATTAACATGCTCTGATGCTAAGAGTTCTACTCCCCCTCCGCACCTGAACAGAAATCTGTTCCAAATGCAAAACACAAGCAGGAGAGGAGTTTCAGTTTCAGAGCACCAAGAAGCTTAAATACAGAACAGTTGAGCTAAGCCACGCCCAGGCTCCTTGCTGTCTCCTTCCTGTTCACACACCAAATACTGCTTCAGTTTCAAAACAGCCTTCAACTCTCTCACACACTGACAGGGCGCTAGCCAGATGAATACTGATGGATGCTGCTAGGCAGAGGCAGAATTTTTCCCCCCTTATTTTTCTCCCCCAAAACTAAGCCCGACCATGAAGTTTCGTAACGAAGCATGGGTATCAAACTAGTTTGAAATAAGTGTTTCTGAATGTTGCTTTCACAGTGGAGGAAAAGGAGCAAGGAGAATCACTTTTTTCTTGTACAGCAGGAGTCCCTAACCCCCAGTCTATGGACCAGCACCGGTCCACGGCATACCAGAAACTGGGCCGCACAAACAAGCAAAGTCCCATCCGTGGTATGCAGGCAACCCACTGCATGCAGGCAGACTGCCCCTTCCAGTCTGCAGGAAAAGTCTCTCCACAGATTCAGTCCCTGATGCCCGAAAGGTTGGGGGCCGCTGCTCTACAATCATGTTCCACACAGAGGTCAAATCCAACCACTAGACTGTATAAAGGTTTTTTTAAAAAAACAATGAGTACTGATCAGAACAGCCTAATCCTACCATTTTTTTGAAACCCCTGTGCTTGATTTATACTTACATGGCTAATGGTAATCTGAAACTATCATTTAAACCAAATGGTTGTGTCAGATTTACTTATGCACAGAACAAATCCATCAAAATAATTGGACATAGGCTAATCATGACTAATTCGTCCCACTGGTTCAGTGAGTCAGGATTTATTATAGATCAAACACTGCATATGATGGAAAACACTAACCACAGAAATTCAATGTGCCTTGTTAGCGAAACAGAAACAGAATCATTTTTTCTCTGGTTATTTAAAAAATTAGAAACCAATTTATTAAAAAATGTATCATTGCCAGCCATTTCTACAGCAAAGTGACTACAATGTGAGCATGGAATTTAGCATTTCTAGAAACCAAGTCAATGAATGTTATTTGGAGGCACGACCAACATTCTATATTCAGTGAAAAGGTGTTTAAAGAGAAGATTTGTGGTTAGTGTAGGACTATCTCATCCTTGTGCTCCCTTTCAACTCCACAGTTCTGTGATTTTGTCATTTCCTTATGTAGACCATGTAGAAGGCTGCCTATTTCAAACAAGTAACCCTGGGGAGTTACCAAAGAGTACATAGAAATAACATAGTACAGAATATAATTTAGAATAATAATTCATAGCAATAGCACTTAGACTTACATACTGCTTCGCAGTGCTTTACAGCCCTAAGTAGTTTACAGAGTCAGCGTATTGACACCAACAATCTGGGTCCTCATTTTACCGACTTCGGGAGGGTTGGAAGGCTGAGTCAACCTTGAGCCTGGTGAAACTTGAACTGCTGGCAGCCAGCAGAATTAGCCTGCAATACTGCATTCTAATCATTGCACCGCCACGGCTCATTCATACTATTATCCTTAGAACAACTCATAACACAGCAAACCTATTGGGCTCCATTAATGTCCCACCTAAGATCTGAAGAAATTGTCAGCTTTCTCAATCTTCCACGCCTCAGGGGAAAAGCTCTTTCAAAGGTCCGTAGCTGTGACAGAAAAAGCACCTCTCCTGGGTCTTGCTATGTGATCTCGTTTCAGAGAAGTAACTCAGAACATACCCTGACTTGCCAGATCTGATAGAATGAGCTGAAGCCCCTGGAGATACACACAATCCTGCAAGTAATCTGGCCCTTTGCCCTACAAGGCTTCAAAGGTGGTAATCAACACCTTTAATTGCCCTTAAAAGGTGACTGGGAAATTGTACAGCTTGTGCAGCAGGGATGTCACATGCAAGAGGAATCGGAGGACTCTTTAAGTTAATGCAACAAATCAGTCTGGGGGAAATGTTACCCCATCAAGAGCTGGAGAATGGAGGTCTCCAAAGCCAAGAGGCCAAAACCAGAGCCATTCAGGCTTTGCTAAGGATAGGTTACAGTTTGTTCTTTTCCCACCCTGACCCTGACTACCTCCAAGTGCTGGATAAGAATAAGAATTACAGTACGCTAAACTGTGATAAAATTTAACGGCAGAAATAAAATACCACTTTAATATTAACGTGTAATAGGAGCCATGGTGGTGCAGTGGTTAGAATGCAATATTGCAGGCTTATTCTGCGGACTGCCAGCAGTTCGATTCACACCAGCCCAAGGTTGACTCAGCCTTCCATCCTTCCGAAGTTGGTAAAATGAGGACCCCATATGTGGGCTCTGTAAACCGCTTAGAAAGAGAGCTGTAAAAGCACTGTGAAGTGGTATATAAATCTAAATCCTATTGCTATTATTACACATTGTGTATGTATATATCCCAACATAGACATTCTTGAATTAAATTTAATCCCAGGAAGGAAAAGAGACTTTTGATCAGCAAAAAAATTAATTGATGAGTAGAGGTACAATTTACTACAGCTGCACATATTTTAGCAATCAGTTGGAAGATTTGACTTCAGGCTGCTCATATAAGCATAGCAAATCACTAATATTCACTAAAACAGTCCTTTGTTTTCAAGGTTCTTTGGAATCTTGGTAAAAAAAAGATGTAACAGCTCTTTAGGGCAACTATATCTTTTTCATGCTTGCACAGAAATCTGGAGAAAAAAAATAAGAGCTTGCTTAAAGAATAGCACAGAGGTGAAAGTCTAAAGTATTCCTTCCAAGTTATTTTTGAGACATGAAGAGTCCTACAGCTAATGCTGTATTCCTACTTCAATCCTACAGCTAATGCTAAATGGGTCATATATTTTTGAACCTTAATATCTAGGGGCAGCTGTGAATGGATGAGCTTTTTAGTCCTAATCAGTGTTAGTAAATCTGAGGTTTTATTTTACAGAATTTCACTGCATCCATTTGCTGTTTAATACAGGGTTTAATTTTTTTTTAACATGACATGATGGATAAGCTTCTTCAACATAAAAGAAGTTAAAACAGAACACTGAAGAAACATCAAGTACTTACCTTTTGAATATCTGTTATATCTGCAAGTTTTATAACTTTATTTCTTTTAGATGAACCAGATTTGGAACTTTCAAAGCATAAGTAACTAAGGGCAAGGAAAGAAGGAAAAGTTTTTAAAAAGTAAAAAAAAAATCCTAAATGATTTAAAACGCTGCCTTTGAGTTATTTATATTTATTTATTTATATTTTGAATTTCTAGACACCCATCTCCCTCAAAGACAGACTCGGTATAATAACAACATAAATTCAAATTTTAAAACTTAATATGTATCGTATTGTAAGCCACTCAGAGTCACTTTGGTGTCATGCTCCTGTCAGAGTCTGAATCCAAGGAGGAAGACGAACAGCTGACAGGGAGTGGGAGTGTGGCTCAGTTGGCTGTGGAAGAAACTGGGGAAGGGCAAAGTCTGGCTGGGCAGAGCAGGGAAGAGGTAGAACAAGGGAGAGGGAGTTCAGAGGAAGACCTAGGCCCAACCCCTCTTCATCCTAGGGCATATAGGGAGGAACGGAGAAGAGAGCAATATGGGTTGCGTGGCTTACGGGGGAGGAAAGGGCCCCGATTCCCTTCATTAGCCACACCTGGGAAGAGAGTTTAAAAGAGATGCATGCTGGGTACGGCAGCTGCTGGAAGCAAACGTGAGTTTATCTTGTATTGACTTTGATTATCTGTGTTCCTGGCATCATCCCAACCATGTTGAATTACGGCCGTTCCTTCATGTCTGGAATTCCTTCTCCTGCCCTGCTGGACTAATTACCTCATCTTGACTTGATTGGACTTGACTTGATTGGTTAAGAGTTTTTGTTGGCCACGTTTTGGACTTGATTCTCTGCAGCCAAAGGCTGTCCCTGGGAGAGTTTTTCTCCAGCCAGAAGGTAACCAGGACATTGGGGGCAAAGTTGGAGCTAATAAAGGGACTTCTACTGATCATCTGACTGTATTGCCTTTGTGCCATGCCCAGGGTCATCACATTTGGCTAGTGAGATTGGGAAGCATATACATTTAATTTTAATATTTTAATGCTGAAGCCGGGTACCTTTTGTTTTATCCAATTAGCCCAAACTACATATTTTCTGGTGTTCTTACCATTTCATGGCATGCTTTTTATCACTTTTTTTTTTCTCTTTGCCTTTCTGGCACCTGCCTGGTTTAGACCCTGCAGGGTTTTTTGGCAAGATTTTCCAGAAGTGTTTTGCCCTTGCTTTCTCCTTTCTAAGGCCGAGAGAGAGGGACTGGCTCACAATCATGCAGATGACTCTGTATCTAAAGCAAGACTAGAACTCGCAGTCTCCCAGTTTCCTTTAATCACATATTAACTGTGAATTTGTCCTTGTGAAAAACAATGAAGACCTCATCCAAGAAAACCCCACTGAAAACAAGTTCACTCTTTTATTGGATCCTTCTATAATGTTCTTTTCCATTAACCTTTATATTATATCTCAAACTTACCAGACTTATAGCAAGCATCTTTAATCTATTCAATAACATTTTTATAGATTCACAAAAAGCTCTGAAAGTTATTTTCTTTCAAATACTTTTTTTGTAATTCACAAAAACGCGTAACTTCCACCCCCCACCCCCACTTAAATAGAGACATCAGATCAGGGAGGCAGAAATATGGACAACACTAGAATATGGGAGAAAAATAGCTCCCTAGCACCAGCTAGTGATTATCCAATTTTTTTGCAGCCCAGGTGGCCGTAGCTTTAACATTCTGCTGTAAATCAAACAAACACTTACTTTTCAGTAACATAGAGAACTCCATTCCTAATGTAATCAGTGGTTATCTTCCTATCTCTGTTTATCAAGCAGCAGCGCCAGCCATTTTCACACACTACAAAATAGTACAATTATTCCATTTTACTTTTATATGGGAAGCAGCTGTAATATTGGTACATTTCAGATACATTTAAAAGTTCTATATACAGAGTTGGCAAGGAAGCTCCTACAAGGAAAACTTGTTCATAAAGAACTCTTCATATTGAAGAGTTAAATCTTCAATGAACTTTGATTTATGTGGTAAGTTTTCTTTTTAAAAGTCACCAAAGCAACATAACCTAAATCTTGAGAATGCATACAAACTCTTCTAGACACTGAGGTAAATATTTCAAGCCAGGGTAAAAGTTAAAATTCTCTGACAAATGTATGCTCCAATTCCTCAAATTTATATTTCAACAAAGGTCAAACCAGCCACCCCACTTGTACAGAGACTCTGCTGACTGAAAGATAAAAGATTAATATTGATCTGCTGTACATGGAATCCAACAGTAGATCACATTATGATGTCGATCATTTCTTAATAATGTTACTTTATGGGCCTTTTTAAAAAAAAGTCTCATTAGTTGATGTCCACCTCCAAAGTTGTGTGAGTACCTGCCAATGGACGCTCATGTTCTGACAAATTAAATACTTCATGGAAGTTTCCTCTCTTGGTATTGTGAAAGCGGCTGGTTTCCTCATCCCGACTCACTCCTGTTGAGGTGTTTGAACCTACATAGCTTCGGGATGCAGTTGTTTGAGGCTGAAACAACATAAACTTGGCTTTACTAAACACTTGCAGAAATCATACAAACTTCAGTTATGTTATCTTCCCTTGTCCTCAGGAAATGTCCTGCTTCAGTGCTAGAAACCCATGTCTGATGCAGCTGCAATCCCTCTCCAAAATATCCAGGGTTGATCAACTTGTGAAGGATTCCATTAACATCAGGCTGTGAGTTAGAATTCATAAAGTATGCACAGACTCATTGTGTGATACAATTGCACAGGAAGGTGAATTCCAACAAAGCTCTTTCATATATAAGTAGTTTTACTTGACATAGGATCTCTTCTGAAGGCTGCCATGCACAGCATACCGTTGTGCAACTCCTTCAATTGAATCCTCCAGAGGACAGTATATTGTGTAACTGATCTGTGTTGTGGCCCAAAACAGGGCATGACATTTTTTTGGACATCCTTTTGAGGGATAAGAAAATGCATCTTCAAAAACAAAAAAAGACCCCCAATCTCAACTATGAGAACTTCAGACAGGAGCTTTCCGTGAGGTTTCAGGACCTGCCACCAATAAAGCATCAATATACTATGGTGCAATTTAAAACACTGCAGCTATGCATGTTCCCAAAGCACCCAAAAGCCATAAGTAGGATCTCATCAAAGTCATAAAAACAAGTGATTCAGTTGGCATGATATTTGTTCAGCAAAAATTGGTTAGCAGGACTATTACAAGACGGGGGAAATGGGCGACAAAATATTACCACAAGCCACCTCAATAAGCTTGATAATACAGTAGATGTTTTTAGGCGGGAAATTCCATTCACATTCCCACTTCCACAGGAAGTCCACTTCTATTCTAGCCAGCTTTTAATAAGCATAAGCTCAACACTGATTCAGGAATGTTGATTATATACAAGTAGTCCTTGACTTAGAACCATTCATTTAGGAACTCTTCAAACTTACAATGGCACTGAAATAGGCAATTTACAATCGGTCCATCGCAGCATCCCCATAGTCATTGAACCAAAATTTATGATTGGCAACCAACATGCATTTATGTCAAGATGCAGTGTCCTGGGGCCATGTGATTTCATTTTCAGCCTTTCCAGCTGGCTTCCAACAAGCAAAGTTGATGAGGGAAGCCGGTTGCGTTTAACAACCACGTGGTTCACTTAACAAATGTAGTGGGAAAAGTTATACAATTGGGCATAACTCACGTAACAAACACTTTGCTTTAGCACTGGAAGTTCTGGCCCCAATTGCAATTTTAAGTCAAGGACTACTCATAACAATACTTTCCTATTCCTTGGCATTGTAAGAGGGAAATGGTGGGGCAGAAAAACTTTTTTTTTTCAACTTTATGCATTTTGACTCATGGGCTCCAAAGCTTAATTTGCTGTTTTGTAAATGTGGCCATTTACACAGCAAATATATTCCAATATACACAGATTTAAATTTGGGATGAATTACAATTGCCAACATTCCCAGCTGCCCGGGCAACTAGATTGGTCTATCACCAAGTTTAAATGAAGGCATCTTTCATTTCTGTCTCAATTATTTTTCAAAGTACTGTAACATGTAAATCATTATAAGCAAGGGGACTTTCATGACTATTAATTTTGAAGGTATGTCATATTGTTAATAATGGTGTACATTTCTAGAGTTTTCTTCCATTAATCAAGCAAAGTAAAATTAAATAAAGCAATAGTTATATAAGTGCTCTGCCACATCAAGTTTATCAAACCACGTTTTCAACTGAATAGGGAAATATTGAACACAATGCAAAATTGATCCATTAATAGTAAAAAAAACAGTTTCTACACCTCTGGGTCTTTGGATTCAAATGAAGACCCATTACTGCAAATAATACAAATGTAAACATTACAGTAAACCACATCTGCATACACGACAGAGGTGGGAAGAGACAGCGGGAGAAAGAAAGAACAATTGCTGCTCATTATGAACACAAATGATCATCTGAAAGACAGAAGATATTCCACTCTAAGATCCATACCTTTTCATGACCTGACAGCTAGCAGGAGGAAAAAACAAACAAACAAACACAATGTGATGATGACCAAAGAAAAAAAAAAGCAAAACCTATTTAATTGTATCATATGCAGAATCAAAATACGAACTGGGTGAATTGGCAAGATTTTTTTTTTTTTTGCATACCAAAAGACTAGATCCAATATATATTTTTAAAATCCCTAAAAGATATCAATGCACAGTTTTTGAATTTTATTAAAACTATGGGCGCCTGGCTAGATGTTCCCATCTTGAATGAATCCTGACTTGCTTTGCACAAGTTGGTGAAGTTTAATAATTTCCTCTAATGATGATTTAGCTGAAATTGGTTCACAAAAATATTTGAGAGAATTCTGTAGTGTGTGTGTGTGTGTGTGTGTGTTTTAAATGATTTTGAAGGGAGTGATGATTAAAATGAATTTAACTTTGCTTTTCACTTCTTTAATCATTTGGCACTAGCTGAATGAGACTAATTGTGGAAGATGCTGATGGGGGCATTAGTGGATCTTTTATACCAGGGATGTGAAACTTGCAGCCCAGGGGCTGGATGCATCACGTACAGCCCATATCCACCCCAGCTCCACAAAGAGAAAAACAGTCACAAAACATCACATGATGGCAATGTGACACCACAAGTTTTGACACCCGTATCTTATACTAATAACAAGGATGGAAATATCTATCAGGAGATCCATTGTGAAGCACATAGGAGCCATTTTAAACATTCAGGACAAAGAGTCAGATAAAACATAATTTAGGATTTAGTTGCATATTTTATATACATGTTCTCCCTTCAAGATAGCAAAACATATATTTTACTGTAGTGTCTATTTTTAGCTACCACACTTGGAGGGTGAAAGAAACTGTAACAGAGACACCAATTATTCACCCCTGATTTAAGGCTAGAAGTATTTTATTACTTTAAAAAAAGAAAGAAATTTCAATTTTTACTACTGTTATATGTTACCTGATTGTAGACAAACCAAACATTTGTTCAGGACTTACAGGAGGAACTCTTTATCTTTTAGCTCTTAACAATGTATTCAATGTCTTAACAATAACTATAGCTTTAGGATTGAAGCACAAAGAAGCAATTGTTGGTTTCTTAACAAGTCAATGGATTAAACATGCAGCCCCAGAAGTGCTAATCTGGCAAGCTGCTGCATTTTAATTCCGTAAACATAGCCAAGTTTATCATTACTCCAGATATATGACATTATTACAGTTGCACAATGAGCAAAATTAAAGATTAGTTTATATTGAACAATGGCACAAGCAGAGTCAAGTTCTTAGTTGGACTTTACTTGTATACCCCAAATCTAACTTTCTTTTCGTTCTGTGAATTCAAGTATGGTTAAGAACATATTACAATCTTTCAGATTTTAGAGGAAAGCATTTCCTTTTTAATTTAAAAAACAACAACCTGGCACTCTCTAAGTTGTTTTAAAAAGTCCTTTTTTCCATTGAACAATCTCTTACTTTAAAAGCATTCCTATTCCTATTCCTGAAGATTTTAGAAAGAAGTGGGCAGACAGGAATAGTAATGTAAATATTGGGCCTGAACCATGAACAACTAGTCCTCTGTGTGCTCTGATCACTGAAGCTACACAGATGTTGTTAAGTTGTGTTATGAAGGAAGAAGCAGGAAAGAAAGAAAGAAAGAAAGAAAAAAGAATTACCCGTCTTGATACTGTAGCATTAGCCCTTTCTTTGAGTTGAGGATCCGTAGGCAAGTTCAACCATATGATATAAGGAGTATCATACTTTGCCCGTAGTCTTGGACACCGTTTGAAGACAAAATCAATCAGAAAAAATTTAATTCCTGCATAAAGTCCTGCATAATTAGAAAGTCAAAGGTTGGAATGAGGAAAGTTTCATGACTGAAGTATGAAAACAAAATCTCTCTATATAACAGTGAAATACCATTCATGCATCATCACAAAATGAACCGTAAAGCCTACAAACTTGAAATTTGGCCCATATGTTCCTCTTGGCTTCTAGGTGTTCACTAAGCAAGGATTTTTCGAAATGACCATCAGAGCATTAGTATTTCGTATATTATTATTAACACGCTCTGATGCTAAGGAGTTCTACTCCCCATTTCCACCTGAAAAGAAATCTGTTCCAAATGGAGAAGAGTTTCAGTTTTAGTTTCATAGCACCAAGCAGCTTTAGTACAGAACAGTTGAGCTAAGCCACACCCAGGCTCCTTGCTGTCTCCTTGTTCACACACCAAATACTGTTTGAGTTTCCAAACAGCCCTCAACTCTCTCACACATTGACAGGATGCTAGTCAGATGAATACTGAAGCTGGTAGGCAGAGGTAGATTTTTTTCCCCTTATTTTCTCCCCCAAAACTAAGCCTGATCACATAGTTTTGTAGCGAAGCACGGGTATAGAGTTAGTTATACTATAAATACTAATTTGCAAATACAGGTAGCCCTCTACTTACGACCACAATTGAGCCAAGAATTTATGTTGCTAAGTGAGAAATTTGTTAAGTGAGCTTTGCCCCATTTAACAAACTTTCTTGCCACATTTGTTAGGTGAATCACTGCAGTTATTAAATTAGTAACACAGCTGCTAAGTTAATCTGGCTTCCCCATTGACTTTCCTTGTCAGAAGGTTGCAAAACATGACACCGGAGCATTTCAACCGTCATAAATATGAGTCGGATGCCAAGCATCCAAATTTTGATCATATGACCATGGGGATGCTCCAAGGATTGTAAATATGAAAAACGGTCATAAGTCACTTTTTTCAGTGTGCTGTTGTAACTTTGAACAGTCACTAAATGAGCTGTTGTAAGTCAAGGGCTACCTGCCCTATGAAAGAGGTCTTTAACAATATGCAGGGGCATATCTGAAGATCCTTTCTTTGGATCTTTAAAGTAGCTGCCTCTTTTTCCAAACTTACATAGTTTGTCAGGAAGTATTTCTGCATAGTTGCAGTGCCTCCCTCACCCAAATTCATCCTGAAAGCAAGCTTGCAAAGTGAAAGAGGCTCAGATATAGTGACTCACTTGAAGTTGGTAATAGCCACTATTTAAAAAAAAAAAGTATTTCAAACTTTATTGCAACAAATAGTCAAGTAAGAAGTGTCTAAACCTGCTGTACAGCAGGATTCTATGAGGAGAGCCGCCCCACAAGAAATCATGATTAGGAAAGTCACCAAAGAACCTTACAAGTAGAATTATTCAACTTATAGGTACTGCTGAATATACAAGTTCAGGCTTTGAAAATAATGCCCAATTTATCATTTTCCTTGACGCTTTTATTGAACATAAACATTGTACGGTCCTTGTCTTGGAACGTTAATTTCCTGGTAACTCCAAGGCAATTTAGGGTGTGGCCCACCTTTTATTATACTGCAACTTTTCTAGGGACCTACATGTCACCCTAATTTCTGTTCTCCTACAAGATGTACCAGTGGAAGAAGAACTAGTCATTTCACTTCCTTTGTTAGACATCTAGACCAGGAGTGTCAAACTCACGGCGTCACGTGACGTATCGGGACATTTTTCCCCTTCGCTAAACCGGGCGTAGCCGTGGCCAGTGCATGACACATCCGGCTCACGGGCCAGGAGTTTGACACCCCTGATCTAGACCAACATCACCCAGTTAATAGCTAAATTGGTTACATTATACATTGTACCTACACAATTTCCTTATGCTAGCAATGGGGATGAGAATTATGCTCCTTATGTTTTGCTTTATTTTATGACAATGCTAACAATCATTTGTTTGATTTTAGGCCTTGGGCAGATGCTATACTTTACTTTAAACAGCTCAGATAAGCCTCATATCCTCTAGTTTGATATTTCATTTATAGTATTGCTTCTTGAATGTCTTTGTATTTCTGCTGTTATCTTGACTGATGATTGACACAAATGAGCAATTACTACTGTTGTTGTATTAATTAGCTTTGTACCTGATTCAGTAACCCGCATCTGAATATGGTAAACTAACTCAAAAATAAAGAGAAATAAAAAGAACATTGCTGACAGCTAAGAACAGATACATTGATTAGCCATCTCCAAACAGTGTGATGTTATAACATAAACTGCATAGGTGGTTTGGAAACCAAACCAATTGCTCATTTTTTAGCAGGATGTGGAATTCTAACATTTAAGAAAGCAAGAAAATATAATAGTTTTACCTATTGCAAGCCCAATGATCCGGTAAGGAATGCAGCAGGATGCAATAAAAGCTGCCCATAAAGCAATATATAGTTTCTGCGTTACTTCAGGCTGGACCCACATGAACAGACTGGAGAGAGAGAGAGAACAGAAAATAAAGGTAAATAGGCAGCATTTAAATATGTCATCATTCAGACCTGATGAAAAATGTTGTTAAAAAGAGAAGTACATAGAAACTTACTTTTTAATTTTTTCCAGTATATCTGACATTTTGCCAAATAAATTCTGTAATCAAGAAAGAAAATGAGTATTAGATTAGAATACATGTCTGTGTATATGAAAAAAAAGAAGTAGTTGTTTAAAAAGTTTACTTTTTAAATCAAACTCTATGCCAGGGGTGGCTAACCTTTTTCGTCTCCTGTGTTGAAAATTGTGCTTGCGCGTGTTTGCGCACACTCGCATGCCAGCACCCAGAAGGCAATGCGCCCGCCCCCCCGCCCCCTGCGCATGTGCACATGATCCCGTGTGCACCACATCTCTGTGCATGCGCATGCCCCAACACGCAGCTCTGCGCATGCATGCGCTTCTCCCGTGCCCCCCATGCATGTGTGCCAGACAATCAGCTGTCAGGTGGGTGCCCATGCGCAGTGGGGCTCTTCCGGGAGACCTCTTGCGTGCTGGCAGAAGTGGCTCTATGTGCCACTTCCATCACGTGTGCCATAGGTTCACCATCGTGGCTCTACACATTTACTATGTTCTGCTATTTCTCAAATCATCGTCGTTTAACAACCCCATAATCCCTTGTGAGGTGGAGTCTGGGCCACTGAATGGAGCTAGCCAAGTGTTTTAATAGCCGGATGCCTTTCCTGTTGCCAATGCGGAGTTTTGTTCAGCAGATATAGTCTCAGTGTGCCCAGAGAGAGGAATATCTGCCTCTACCTAGGATCGAACTCACAGCCTTCTGATTGTGAGGCGAGAGCTCCACCTCTAGGCCACCACACCACTCTTCTGCTGTTTCTCAAATGAGATGGGAAAATCAAGTGTGACTAATACAAGCCACCTTTCATAAACGTTCTGGTCCAGTAGGCTATACTCTCCAAGCACCATTTCTCATGTGCAGATTTCTCACAACTTGCTAAATAGAGATGCCAAAGATTTCATACCTGTGCTTTTTGTGCCACATCCAGAACAAGCTGGAACTTTTCTGACACGGTTAAGTCTTCTTTGGGAGGTTCCTAAAACGGTAAGTATGATTTGTCATCAAACCATGAAATGTGTGACTTTAAACTTAAAGAAAGGAAAAATACTCTCCAATAATGTTGTGGCTTATTTTAACTATTAATTTCCTGAAACAAAGCAGCTGCATAAACTGCACTTTAAAACTAACCAGCTTGCCTCTGATTTAAAGTGTCATTATTTTAAAAAGGAACAAAAGCACCCAATATATTCCTCAAAGCTATCCCCTAAGGCAGAGAGAGGGAAGAATAAGAGCCCTAGGCTTACCAAGCATTATTCGTTCATATAATAATACATACTTTATGGTGACAACCAGATCCGGCTTTTGTAAATATATGCCAGACTGTAGCCAATGTTTTTTTTTTTTTTAATCACTAGGCTGAACACAGCTAGTGGACAACCTTCACTTCTGTGCTCGAGGTACCAAGTCTGCACTAGCAAGTTTGGAGAATTTGGAGATTCAAAGAAATAAAACAATAGCAAAAGAATTGGAGATGGATTGTTTTACATATTTTGCAAACTTTAATCCAATCCAGATGTTTTGGCCAGTATGATCACATGGATCACAACTTTTCCATGTTAAAATAAATTCATTGTCTGGAACGACTGCAACTAGAGTATTTGAAAGACAGCTTGGTGCCTGAACAACTAAACTCATCCTACTACGAACACATAATAAACTATTAAAATACATAGTGTAGATTTAACATTTAACAAGCTTAAGACCTCAGTGATGTAGCTGCCCTCAAAGAGAAATAACTAGACATACCCTGACATTGGCAAATTATTTTAAGTCATTGTTCAGAATTTCATATATATTAGATTCCAGATACTTCAACATATAAGTCATATACAGTATTCCATGTTTCTTCTTTAACTAAACAGTGTACCATGGTCTTTTATAGAATATATTTAAAAAAAAAACATATGAAGTTACAATATGATTAAAGTTGAGTTGATTTAAAATTATCAAATTAGAAAATGCCTTATAGATAGTTCAGGTAGTCCTTAACTTACAATCAAATGTTTAGTGATCATTTGAAATTATAACAGCACTGAAAAAAGTGACTTACAACCAGTCCTCACACTTATGAGCTGTGGCAGCGCAATGGTTAAAAGGCACTATTGCAGGCTAAGTCTGCCCACTGCCAGGAGTTTGATCCTGACATATTTAAGGTTGACTTCTATCCTTCCGAGGTCGGTAAAATGAGGACCCCGATTGTTGGGGACAATATCCTGACTCTGAAACCGCTCATATAGTGTGCTGTAAAGTACTGTGGAGCAGTGTGACGACCAGGAGTGTAACACAAACATAACAAAATCCAAAGTGTAAATAAATGTCCTTTCATGCCTCCAACTTGGCCCCACTGTTCAATAATTCTCAGTTGGAGATAAAATGTATTCAAAAATAGTCTTCAAAAGAAAGCAATACAGTCCAAACTTAATGAGCAGATAGAGGTGAAATAAAAACAAACTACAATGAAGGAATTTCCACAACGGACCAGCATAAGTAATTACCAACTTCAAGGAGATAACAAGGCACAGTCTGTTGGAAGGACGCCAACCAAGATAACTTCAGCCCAAAATAACACACACTTTGCTTCTGGCAACGCTGTGTTTTAACCATCTCTCTTATATACTATTCTCTCCAGCTGCAACCAATGAGGGGGATCATGGCCACTTCCTCTCTCATAAGCCAAATTGTTTCCTTCTCCATTCCTCCCTGAAGAGGGGATGGGCCTGCTTCTTCCTCTGACTGCCCAACTGGCCTCTGCCCTTCCCCAGCCTCCTCCACAACCTCCGGAGTCACACCTCCACTCCCTGTCGGCTGTTCCTCCTCTCCCTTAGAGTCAGACTCTAACAAGGGCATGACAAGCGGTATATAAGTCTAAGTGCTATTGCTATTGCAACCTTAGCAGCATCCCCATGAACATGTGATCAAAATCTGGGTACTTGGCATATGTTTACAACATGTCCTGGAGTCATGTGTGCACCATTTGTGACCTTTTCAGCTTCCAACAAGAAAAGTCAATGGCGGAAGTTGGATGTGTAAAAACTGCAGTGACTTGCTTAACAACCAAGGAAAAAGGGTCATAAAACTGGGCACAGCTCACTTAACAGCTGCTTTGCTTAGCAATGGCAATTCTGGTCCCAATTGCAATTGTAATCTGAGGACTAGCTGTGTAAATTTAAAACACATCAAAACGTTCATACAAACATTTCAAAAGTTATCTCAGCATCATTTGGACTTACAATAGGCTCAGAAACTTCAGGCACAATGCTCCATTGTATCCTCCACCCTCTAAAAAAACAAAGGTATTTGCATTAAAGGAGGAACACTGGTTTTCTATGTGGCTTCATAACAATGAAACAGAAGAAATCCTTTTGAAAAGCAACTCATGAAGGCAACTGAATATATCTTTCCAAATTTTAAAAAACTTTCTTTAATATAGTCCTGACATCCATCTTAAAGGGGTCTCGTAGTTCTGAATGTTCAATAGACTACATTAGATTGAATAATTAATAAAATGCATGGCTAAGACTTTTTAAAAATAAATAAATAAATAAATAGGCTACTGCAACAATGTTGTTGCACATAAAGTATTGATTCAATGTAGATTATTTGACTATGCAATCAGGATTTAACATCATGCTTATTATGATCAATAAAATATTCCAGCACAGAATTAAAATATAGTAAATAAGTATTTATACTTCAACTTTCCTAAAACTTGGAATTCCCTCTATACGTTTATTGTGTAAAAGGATTTCCATAAATACAAGTGGAAATGGGGCCATGTTTCAAAGTTTATCTCCTTTGGAAAGCCACATGATTCTGTCAATCAGTTCCTGATTACAATGATCACTTCTCACATTAGCTACTCTCAATGTGCGGATGTTTGCTATGAAGACAACGGCCGCAATTTTGCAGGCAATGGATCTGAATAGACCCTGCTCAACTCAATGGAACACCCTTGCTGACTGAGTCTAAGCCATTCCATTATAAGAAATGCAGGAACGGTAGAAGTAACAATAATATTTGGAATAAATTTGGCACATGAAAATGCGATGAAAAAGGGTTAGGGAAGGATTTACTAACACACCAACAATCCAAATGCTATGATTTCTCGCTTACTTTCTCCTCTTATTATAATTTGTAATAAAGAAGCTACAGTTATGCTGAATTTTATATTCCCCAAACATCTGAAACGCAATTTAACTGATTTGTCTCCTTCCCATTTAAACGTAACACAGAGGGCATAAATCACGTTTTGTTTGCAAGAATAATCGAAAGGTCGTACTAGAGTAGAAGTAAAGTCAAATCCTGGATGAAAAACAAGACCAAAACCTATTTATTTAATCTATGTAATAGGGAACATTTCAGGTTCTTACTCTTTAGGACGGGTTGGGAGTTCCTGAATGGCCCTTGAAAGAATATTTTCCTTGATGAACTAGCACTACCAGCTACTAGTTCTTAAGTAACATATTTCTGACATGGAGGAAATCTATAACATTAAGTACTATAAGTAAACACTCCCTCAAGTCAATACTTCAGTAACTAGATGGGACATCCGTGCAGTTTGGTTGACAATAGATTGGAAGATTAGCCCTCACTAATGTGGAACAAATGGAAACCAGCTTGGCTAAACATAATCTAGCAGTCAGGACATCCAGTTATGAATACAGAATCCCAACCAGTCCTACTCAGTTGCCTGTGGTCTATACAGCAGACCATCTTGCTTCTGATTATGCCAACATGGTTTCTGGAGAAACATCAGGAATTTTGTTCCCTATAGCACAATTACTAAATCTTGAAGCCCAACCATTTGGTAATAGCTTACTACCACCTTCTCCCAAGGAGTTTCTCATCTCCCCAGTCTAGCCAACAAACCTGGGATTTTCCTGGTGGTCTTTCACCTATGTACGAATTGAGCCCAACTCCGTTTAGCTTCCCAGCACAGACGTGGTCAGCCAGGCGGAATAGGCAATTCACCTCAGACAACTTGCTGACAATTCCATGTGGCATAAATCAACTCAATAAATGTTTATCTGCCACTGACAAAAAATGGAAATAATGTGAAGAAACAGTAGCAGGTAACATTAATCGAGTTATCCCATGTGGAATTGTCCTGTAGTGAGTTGGCCGTGGCAAAATGGCCGCACTGGGCTGGCTGTGGCAAGATGGCGGTGACAAGTTGGATGTGGTGAGTTGTCCTAGACCCTTCACCAGAACTGCCATCCACTGAGACAGTCAAAAAGCTAGAAACTGGATATTTCCATGTGCAGTACAAAAAATTTAAAGCATGTCACCACCAAAGCCTGGAATTTCCTATTTTGTTATCAATTTTTAAATTAAGTGCACTAAATAGGAAGACAATATAAAAATGCATTATTTATTTATTTAGACAAACTCATACACCATTTTAAATTGTATAAATTCTACCAGTATATACTCCAGTGTGTGTAACATACCTATTATTGACAACATATTAAAGAGCGATTACCTGGCTATGAGGTAATTTAGGGACAACCTCAAAATTGCTAAAAATAAGAACATAGGAATGGCCCAGCCATGCCATACAGCATTCATGTACATCTACAAATAAAAGAACAAATAAACCACATGTTATCTTTCCATGCAATTATTATGTTAAAAAGTATTAACAGCAATGGATAGGAAACTTTCATTGCAACACTACATACCTTGAATTAGATATTGAACACATTATTTTCACTATGTAAATTTGAAAGCATTCCTAATCTCATGTATTTCTTAAATTTCTATGCAGTCTCTGTTCAGAAGCTCATGGAAGCATACATGCAGTATCTTTTTAGGCATGGTTGCAGATTTCTTTAAATTAAAAAGAACCATAAAATATTTATTTGTATGACTGTTCATTAGTTTAACAAATTTATACAGTGATCTATCTCACTGAACATGATTCTGATGGTATAAACCTATCATAACAGAAGCAATACTTAGTCAGTTGAAAGGTTTTCTTTAAGAATTACTTCTTAAAGATACATTATGTCTGGATGACAGAGGCAAAGGTAGAAATAACACAGGTAGTCCTTGACTTACAACAGTTCATTTAGTGACCATTCAAAATTACAACGGCACTGAAAAAAGTGACTTATGACCTTTTTCACACTTACAACCATCATAGCATCCCCATGGTCACATGATCAAAATTCGGATGCTTGGGAACTGATTCATATTTATGACCGCTGCTGTGTTCTACGGTCATATGATCACCTTTTGCACCCTTCTGACAAGCAAAGTCAATGGGAAAGTCAGATTCACTTAACAACCGGGTTACTAGCTTAACAACTGCAATGATTCACTTAACAACTGTGGCAAGAAAAGTCGTAAAATGTTGAGATCAGTTATGATCACAAGTCAAGGACTGTCTGTATTCTATAAAGAAATATTACCTGCAGGTGAAAATACCAAACATACCTCAGCTTGACTTTTTTTAACTACAGATGTTCTGAGCTTTCCAATTAAAATTCTCAACTTACAACTAGATCACTTAGCAACCATTCAAAATTAGGATGAACCCTCCAAAAACTACTTGTGACTGATTTTGAAGATATGATGAATTAACCCTCTCCCTTGCATTTTGGGCATCTGGCAATTGGCACACCCTTATGGCTGTTTGCAGTGTCCCATGGTTATGTGACAATTCTCGACGTTTTTTGCACAATTCTGGCATTTACTTCCAGCTTCTGATAAAAATTACCCAGTGGGTAAAATGGGTTTGCTTAACAACTGCCATGTTTGTTTAATGCTCATGGCATTTGCTTAACAACCACAAAAAATAACAAAAAAAAATCTGGTCCAGTGATGTAATAACTCGACTCAAAATGGCAATTACTTCTACCTGTAATTTTGGGCTCAATTACAGTTATAAATTAAGGACCACCTCAATTCACTGAATGTAGTACATCAGATTAATTGTAAGCCACGTTTTCAAAGAAATCATAAACAATTTCAAATATTGGCAGAATTGTTAGTGATTGTCATCATTTTCTTTTCTATAACAGAATTTAAATAACAGAACATTATTCTGTTAGTCAAATTGTGTGTTGCTCAACTAAGAAAGAACAACTTACAATAAAGGCAATAGCAGAAGTGTAGACAGAAAACCAGTCGGATAAGGCAGAAAGATTCTTCACAAAATTTGTAACAGGTTTGGCACCTCTCTCTAGGCAGAACAGAAAATATAGATATAACTTTAACTACTTAGGCGTGTGGTTTACAGGTACAATTGAAAATGGCACAAGAAAAAGATACAAAGACTAAAAGTAGAGACAGCTCATTTTTTAAAATCAAATCAAATGTCATTCAGAATATTTTTACAGATAATCTGTAGTCACTCATTTGTATGATCTTTGTATCCACAATCTCCTCTTATTACTTTTGTATTTAAACAAAACTATCTGTGATTTTTCAAAAGTCCAGATGCTAGAAACTGAATGATCGACTGAGTTACGTCACTTCATTTATATAAATACAAATTAATATACAAAACAGCCTCCAATGAAATAGAAAAATGATAAAGGGGCTTTGCTCTTGTTAAGATCCACTTCACACATGCAAATTGCCTCTTGAAATTCATAACAATGAGCATGTTCATCTGAACTTATCCCCAAATCATTCATATTAGAAGCATCCTAAATCTAATTTGTTTGCTTGTTCTGTGGCATACACCGGTCTCCTTATTTCCCCTTATCAGGTAAACTTATTCAGAGACAGAATACTAGCCCGAAATCTAAAACTTGTTACCCTAAAACCTGACTTTCCCTGCTAGTAATCCATAACCATCATACTACACTGCCTCTCTTAGTACAAGAGACAGCAACAGAACATATAAATCTATCAGTTGCTTGTAGTGCATATTTTAGATCTAGCCGATCTGCATTCTTACACTCAGAATGAACAAGATCTACTGAAATGTCACCCATCTGCATTTGGTATGTTATCCCATTACAGATATTATCAACAATATAAACATGGTTAAATACTTACTTAGTCTTCTCATATTTTCTGTTAGCCTGAAAGTAAAGAATAAACATTTAGAGAAGCCGCTTTGAAAATTAATGCATTTCTGTTTGCTATTAGTACATCTAAGGCAGACTTGATTCTAAAATGATATGCATATGTCCTTAAAGATAAGACAGAAAATCTTCGCAAGTTCAGAGTTAAATTAAAAATATGGAACGGTAATACACACTGTTGCTGATTACAGAAACACAAAGATACACTTGCACATGCGCATACATAAACAAAATGAGAGAAAAAAACAAAGAAAAATACATTTACAAAAATTAGTAGTTTAAAAATTCCGTTTCATTATAAATCAAATATAAAAGTAACAATTAAGAACTAATGATATAGAATATAAGCCAACATCAAATTATGATAGAATTAAAGGTAAAGCTTCTCTTCACACATATGTGCTAGTCATTTCCAGCTCTAGGGTGTATGATAGTCATGCCTTTAATTAACGCTATACTGTTTGTTATCTAGTACATTGATCGAAGGGATTTTTACGTTGATCGTCTTTACATAAGCAAATAGCCTTCTTCCAATATAATTTACCGTCTTGCACTGAGCGGCTCTTCTGTTTCCACTGTGTTTTCTTCTGGCTGAAATCTAAAGTCTTCAATATATTCTCCAAATTTATCATAAATCCACTTCTGAACTCTTGAACACACCATGTGGCTGCGTTTATCTAATAATCAAAAACACATCACATTTTTAAGTGACTTCCAAAACGATCAGTTGAAAACTACTTACAGAAGTAAGTAATATTCTGAAGCACAACCAGAAATTCATAAGATGGCAGGATAATTAATATTAACAGAATCTATTGCCCTAAAACATTCAGGAAACCAAACTTGTTCATTGGCAAAAGGGCTTGCCAGGAATTCTCATATTGGAATCGAGTTCCATCCATGTCTAAATGCACTGAATCCCCGGTACCCAAAAGGTTGGGGGCTGATGCTCTAAAGAGAGAGAAGAAAACAACAACTGAATGAAAAACAGCTGGTGACCTTCTACCGCTGCACCATAGAGAGTATCTTAACTTACTGCACCTCTGTATGGTTTGCCAATTGCCCAGATAGGAAAGCACTCCAGAGGGTTAAAGTCATTGCCCAGAAGTTCATTGGTTACCCTCTCCCCTCTTTGGAAGAGCTTTACAGCTCTCGCTGCCTTAAGAAAGTTCAAAACATTCTCAAAGATCCATCTCATTCTGGGCACCCCTTTTTTGAACTATTACCATCTGGCAGACAGTGCAGGATAATAAAAACAAGGACAAATAGGCTGAAAAACAGCTTCTATCCCAGGGCAGTAGCTCTTTTGAATTCTACTGTATAGTGCAATATTAATGCAATATCAGGGGTTTTCAATTCGATGTACAGAAGGTGAAGCATGTGTGTTTGTGTTTATTTTCATAGTCATAATGTACACAGAACATGGTATTTAACTTCGTTGTACGAGGTTCAGTGACAATAAACTAAACTAAACTAAACTAAAGTTTACATAAAAGATCATAAGACAGCAATAACCATTTCAGTTGTGCCTCATATAAGTAACCAGGTGTTCCAAGTGTGAATTTAATAAAAATACTAAATAAAACAGTTTTGCAGAAGAGCTCATATGCATGAATGAGAATTCCCATAGATATTATTTCAAGTCCTCTGTTTCAAGAAATATTGCATTCATCCATCCATTCACAAAGTAACCAATTATGAATTTCACTGCTTCTGAAAATTTGTATTTATTCATGTATTTTACAAAGAGAACTTGTTAGGTTAAAACCACTGTAAACTATTTATTTTGATTTTATTCTTGTAATATATTTATTTTGAGGCAACAACAAATGCCATCTCCTCCATAGTGTAATTCCCATCTTCAGATAACATAACATCCCTTGATAAATTTCAACAAAGAAAGGTCTGTCTTATTTATAGGATTCTTGAGGAACAGGGCCTATTTGCAGGGTAGATTTTGGTAAAGCTTGATTGAGATAAATCAATGTGCACATTTTCTCTGCTTTTCTTTTGCAGAGGGAAGGTCTTTACAGTCGCCAATCTGATAATTTCCAGATATGACAAAACTCACATTCCATCATCCTCAAACATTTGATCAGGATCTGTTGATAGTTCTGAATCCATAATTTTCTGTAGTATATTTTTTAATAAGTATTGCCAAGGAGAATATGTTATACCTGGGAATGCATAGACATTTACACTAGAATTTTTTTGATGTTTTTTTTCTTTCCCATGTTCTGCTTGGAATAATTCTTTCTACTGGTAAGTCCACGGGACAGAGAACACAATGGCTGGTTTAACTAGCTGTCAGCCTCCTTATTTTTTTTTCTATGCTGAGCTGAGGGTATGGCTGAGTTCCTTTTGATGCTTTTCAAAAAAAATTAACTAATCAAATTAAGATTTTTCTAAAAGCCAGCTTTTATTTTTATTCACTTTCAGTGTAGAAAGGGACTGCAATTTCCACATAACAGAATGCGTTAAGGCAGGGAGATGCACATTCTGCTAGATATTTCATTTATAAAACTCTACTGCTAAGTAGGGGCATTCTTGAACTTGTCGCTCTTCCACACTCTTACAATTAAAGCCCATCTGTAATCCTCAACACTTGTAGTAATGAGCCAGGTGTACCTGTTCCATTCTGTGCTTTGGGGGGCTGCTGGGTAGATGGAGGTGATTCGTCTGCTCTAAAACAGATTAAGAAAACAAGTGCAATTTAGAATACATTCATTGAACAACGCAACTCAAGACCAAAAACAGAACCAAACAAAATGTCAATATTTCAAAGGAACAGAGAGAAGGGATTTCTTATCTTACAATTTCCACAAGAAAGATAAATCAAAGCAGCTGCTTTGAACAGCCAAGCTGGAGCAACATTTAAGGCGGGCTCTGTAAGACTTTTAAGGCAATGGCTGCCTTTTGCCAACATATTCCGCTGCAAATGCCTCTTTTAAACAATCTCTAGATCGACTACCTATCCCAAATACGAGAATGAAATTGATTTTATTTTTAAAATGTATTTATATATCTAACTTAAGTACCCTACCCATGTCACAAACAAGCAACTCTGGGCAGTACACCACAAAACTAAAACAATAACCATCTAAAACCATTATCATTAATGATTATTTTTAAAAAATGTGAAAACTGTAAATACAGAAGTAAAACAAGGCATAATAGATGAAAGAAGGTCAATAATAATGGCGTCACCTCATTAGCTTGCCTGTCTGAATTTAATTATTTATTCTGAAATTGGGAAAGACGCTCAGGTGGGCATCGAAGACACCAGGCTCATGATCGCGCATGCCTTATTCATCTTCTGAATGGATTAGTGCAATGGGTTCTATATGGAGGCGCCCTTGAAGAACATCTGGAAGCTCCAACAAAACACAACTTGGCATGCAGGAAGTTATGGGCAGCGCATCTGAATGTACTTGTGTTATACCACTGCTCTGCGAGTTGGGCCACCTCCTAATATCCTTCTGGGTGCAATTTAAAATGCTGGTTGTCACAGATATAACACTTTTTCGTACGGTGCTGGTATATCTGCAACATCACCTACCACCCGGCTGATTCCACTCATCCCATTAGGTCTGACAAGGAGATGCATGCTGCAGGTCCCATTAATTAAAGGATGTTGCCTTACTGAACCCCCCAAAATGGGGCTTTTCTGCTCTAGCATCTGTCCTTTGGAGCAGTGGTCGCCAACCAGTGGGCTGGGGACAACTGGTGGTCCGCGAGAAAATTTTGGTGGTCCACAGAGAAATGTTACCCCCCCCAAAAGCAATTAATCCAGGCTGCGCAGGGACACAAGGCTGCACTGCCCACATGGCCTGTGGGAATACAAGACGTGCGTCACTTGCATTGCAAACAACTCGAGGTAGTGAGGGGAGGGGGGAAAGGGCAGAGGGGGGAACTTGCCCACTCGCCCCACGTGCCTTGCCTGGCCACCGGGCTGCTTCTTTACGCTTCTGTCGTCTTCCGCTTTTGGTTGCACGCAAGAAAAGCAGCAAAAGTCTTTCTTTCTCTCCCCCAAACTCCTCCAGAAATGAGTCTTTGGGACCCTGCAAGGCACCCTGCTCCAAGACGCTGAGCCTGTGCAACAAGTCTCACAAAGACTTGTTTCTGGCGGAATTTGGGGGAGAGAAAGAAAGACTTCTGCTGCTTCTGCTGCTTTCCTTGCATGAAGCCAAACATCTCACTCTCTCCCCTCCATCCCCCCACACCGAGAATGGAGCTGGAGATGGTATCCTGCGATCTCAAATTAAAAAAAAATAAAAATTGGTAGGAAAACGGGGTTGGGAATTTTCCTGCAGACTTTTGGGGGGATTTTCCCAGAGTCTCTGGTCCGTGGGATTTAAAATTATGAGTTTGGTGGTCCCTGAGGTCCAAAAGGTTGGTGACCAGGGGTGGGATGCTACCGGTTCTGCCTGGTTCTAAAGAACCGGTAGCTCTGAAGAGCAGCAGACACCGAACTGGTTCTGTGTTTGCTGCTGTTTGGCCCACCTGCCCGCCCAGGCTCTTACCTGTCCTTTATTTCCTGCTTTTTCAACCTCAGCTGCTTTGCGCGGCACAGCTGAGGTTGAAAAAGAAGGAAAAAAAGAGGCTTTTCAAACGCTGCACACCTGCGCGCAGCACTTTTCAGCTGTCCGGGAGGCACAGCTTAAGGTATTTTTACACACACGCAAAACTTAGTCACTAAACTGGTAGTAACACTGGTTGAATCCCACCCCTGTTGGCAACCCCTGCTTTGAAGCACCTTTGGTCCTGAGATTAGATTGGCCCTGAACAAACTGATTTACAAAATCAATCCCAACTCCTGAAAGACTCAGGCAGGTGGGTAAACAGGTAGTTGGAATCTGTTTTCTAGATTGGGTTTTTACTTTGGTGGTCAGTATAAATTTTGTAGATTGGGTGATTTTTGTTCCTACTTTGAGTGTCTTGTGTATCTTGTTGTCGTCCAGAGTTATTATATCAAGATGGGCATTGTTAGACTGACTAAATAAATGAACCTTCACTGTTTCACTCTTTCAAGTTATGATACAGTTGTGTACTAGTCTTTGCAGGTTTCTCCTGGAAAGATGCAATATGCAAAAAATAATTACCCCACCCTCTTCAAATAAACATTTGAGTGATTGCAGCATGCCTGTAATGAGATAGCATCTCCTTTGAAATCATGCATAGAAGTGAAGATTTCAATCAAGAAAGATACTTGATTGCATTAATGATTAATGATATTAAAATATATGAGCTGAAATATTTTAGGAGCAGCCCTGCCTAGCCAAGAATATATACAGTATGATTTCAAGTTATCCCAAAATTCCACACAAGATATCTCTTGTAGAATGATACCGTATCTGTTTTAACATCTTATTTTCTTGCGACTGATTTCTGTAAAGTTATTGGTGGCAATATCAAGTTAATTTGTGTTTTGACACGCTGCAATTAGAATAGCATGCAACTGGCCATGAATGGTTCATGCCATACAATTTTACACAGCAGCAAAGTATAAGTTTACATTCCCAAATCCATATCCACCTCAGAAATATCCAGGATGGAATGCCAAAGAATTAATAAACTTTTTAAAAAATTTCTACAGCTAGCATGTGTAGTGCAAAAATTAAACATGACATCCTCGCCAATAATGTACCTGAGCATCTTAAAAGTGCCCCACAGAGTTTGAAACACCATATAGTCAGATTTTAGACCTCTTAAGAGACTTACTGTCTAATATTGCTCCCCTCACAATAAGCAATGCTGAGTTTATACTATGAGGCAGTGGTGGGATTCAACTTTTTTTTACCACCGGTTCTGTGGGCGTGGCTTGGTGGACGTCCTTTGTGTGCATGCAGAGGGTTTGATACTGACCTTCTCCTGCAATCCTGCACTCTCCCTGTGTGTTCAGCAGCTGATGCGCAGCAATCTACTGTGCCACGCGAAGCAGCTGAGCTTCAAAACCAGGAAATAAAGATCAGTATAGAGCCGGGGCAGGCAGGAGGGCCCAGCAGCTGATTGTCAGAGTAAAGCAGTTCGCTCACAGATGATCCTCAGAGCTACTGTTTCAGCCAAACCAGGCCGAACCGGTAGAATACTACCACCACTGCTATGAGGAAGCCCAGTCTATCCCAAATGTTTTGGGACGTACTCACAACAGACACAGAGATCCAAAACATTGGATTGTCTATTGAGAGTTTAAAAAGGAATCTTGGAGAGTACACATATGGGTTTATACCTATGGGTTTATCTATATCTATTAATATATTTGAATGTGGTTAACAGTTTCAAAAGTACTTCAGTTATTTAAATACTAAAGGCCAATTTTGAGTTGTAAGGGTTGAAATGCACATTGAAAACAAGTAAAATTATCTGCTGTTCTCCAATAGCTGGCTAGGAAAATGCTAGCAATTGAGACCCGTTCTCTTTCCTCCTGTACTGAGCCAGTAGCATTGCCAAAGGAGGAGAGACGGAATCCATGCGTACCCCATATCCATACAACAAAGAAAGCATGTGTCTGGTTATTCTTTTGGAATAAATCATTAAAATACTATTACAGCATTAGCAAGTGTGTGTCTTTGTAATCAAGAGTACAGATTAGGGCTGCACATAATCTTGCAGTATTCATTCCCACAAACCAAGTCAGATGAATACATTTTAGCTTTCTTCCTTGTAGTCATCAGTCTAATTTAAAAATATTTTTATTAAGTTTCTGAGGTTCACACTTTTGATAAGAGACGGATATTAGTCATCAAGAAGCAGTGGACTACAACTTCCATCAAGCCCACCCAGATCATATCTAATTACATAAGACTAATCTAAAATATGTCCTGTATATAAGTGCATATAAGGTAAATAAAGGAGAATTTTTGCAGCTCGGAGTGGAAATGTCCTTGGTGCTTTCTGAGCTTAATTGTTTTCTTGCAGATGTTTTCTTGCCCAAACTAGATAACAAATCAGTGCTAGTCACTGTCACTATCTTCTAAAGTGTTGGCAATTCCCCCCAGTTTAGTATCATCTGCAAATTTCATGACTTCCCCTCTATCCCCTCATCTAAATCATTTATGAAGATTTTGAAGAGCCCTGGGCCCAAGAAAAAAACTTTCAGATATCCCACTGCATGCATCTCCCCATGTAGATTTGGTTCCATTGTTGACTACATAGTAGGTGTGGCCATATAAGAAATAACAAATGTAGAATGGTAAATAAGATATGAAATGGTATATAAAAGTGAGCATGAATTCGAATTTATGTCTGTACAAAAAGATGTAACCCGGGACTAAGCTGCTTTCCAAAAAGATGTTTTATGTTTTCATGTTTTGTGTTTTGTTTGTGTATGTTTGTTTATTGAAAATTAATAAAAATTTATAAAAAAAAAAAGAAATAACAAATACAATTATAGCCCCCAATTTGCCAGTAAGGCACTGGTAGCTCTAATTGTAGTCGTGCTATGTGATAAAACTTGCTTTCAGCTTGTAAACTACAAGAAGTGACAGAATGTAATTCATACCAGACAAATGGATGATCGGACTATTTCAAATCATCTAGACCAGGGTTGTCCAACCCGTGGCCCGCGGGCCGCATGTGGCCCAGGTCAGCTCGTAATGCGGCCCAGTGCCCACCCCAAACTTCGTGAAAGAGGACGAGCCAGCGAGGAGGAGGAGGAGAGGCAGGCGTGAGGCGGGGCGAGGCGAGCACCATGCCAAGCAGCAACAGAAAAGGTGGGCGCCATCAGAGCGCTCCTCGTGACGAGGCAGCCGCAGCCCAAGAGTCCCGCTCCGCCACCTCCTGCTGTTGTTGCCGGAGCTGTTGTAGCGGCTTCTGCCGCCGCCGCCGCTGCTGCACCAAGCCTCCTGGTCCTTGCCTTCCAGTCCTGCCGCATCCAGCCGGGCCATTTGCAGGAGGAGAGGTAGGCGCGAGGCAGGCGAGCTTTCTCCCTCCCCCTCCGCGTTCCTTTCTCCCTGGTTGACTATTTTTTATGATATCTTATGAAAAAAATGTTTTCTATGTTTTTTTTTTTTTGGATGATCAGGTATCGTTACTGTTATTTTATTTTATGTGCGGCCCAAACCAAATTTTCATCTTCTAATGTGGCCCAGGGAAGATGAAAGGTTGGACAAGCCTGATCTAGACCCTTGTTCCCTTGGCAAAATGCCTCCCAGAAGTAGATGCTATTTTATTGCAATCCTTATGCATACTCAATAGAAAAGCCGTTAAAATTCACACGATTGTATTATTTAGTATTTCTTTTCTATATTCCCATGGTAGAAAAAAGATAAGGTGGGAACAGAAAATAGGGGGTTAGAGAAGACAAATTTCTTGCATTCAAATCCCACTTTTTAAATAAAATATTTTACAAAGCAACATACAAAAATAAGAGGGTAGATACAAATATGTATCTATATGCTATCAATATGCTATCAAGAATAGACATCTCTTTTAAAATTCAAATTAAGCTTTACCTTGTAGACAGATTTGTCCTTACCTTGCTTTTAGAATTTCACTGACTTTTTGTTCCAGTTCTATCCTCCTCAAGCGTTCTTTTTCTAACTCTTGTTTAAGTGTTTCAGCATTGGTTTCTTCTCTCAGCTTTCTTAGCTCCTCCTCTGTTAAAAAGGAGAGAAAAATAATCCAGGTATTATGTTTTCTCATCATAGACTTACTTGTGAAGGTTTTGTGCCAGTCTAAACAATCAAAACACCAGGCAGCTTACAATTCTCCCGCAGAATAGTGAAAGCTTCTTTTTTTTAAAAAAGGAAAAAAAATCACAATATATCTTAATAAAATCAATCACACAGCAGGAATCCTCACTGCTACACCTGTGGAACTACAACATTCTGGCATAAATTCCTTTGGGACTATCGAAGATCATAGAAAATCCTATGTAAGAGCCAAGCCACTGCTCTTCCACCTAATAGGGATAGAATCAACCTTCACATGAATCACTGAATTAAAAATGAATCACAAAACATACTCTCACACACTGCATTCAGGAAAAGGATGAAACTCTGGATTTCACAACTCTATTATTAGACATCTATAGCATTTCAGGAGAACAAAATTATTGTTTGTCACACAGACAACATCACTGCATAATTCATATCACCTACCCATGTTCTGCATCAATTCCAGTACACCAGACTGCCTCCTTGGATTACAACGTGAGTAAAACTACACCTAGGTTGTCATTTTAACAACAGAAGCAATTCTTGAGTGATTCTTGTCATCTTAAGGAAACCCACAACTCAGGGTTAAATTACTTGCTTTCCTTCCAGAAGGATTAATCTCTGCCCTCTTGAGGAAATGAACGAATCAATAAATGAATATTTAAATGAATATTTAAATAAATAAATAAATGAACAGGAAGTGGAAGGAGATCTATGTAATATTCTGGATTATTGTTGCCAATCACAATAGTCAATATTGGGTGAGAGGTATTAACAAGTTGTCATTCATATGGAGACTAAAGTAACTGCTAAAACTATGCCTCAGAGACAGCAGTACTTTAAAACTATAGAGCCAATTATTAACGGTGGCTTCCTATTTTACAACAGAGGGTAAAAATAGGGTGAACTGAATGAAACAAGTAACTTGGAGTTCCATTAATAGGAATAATAGCTCTTACACTCCTAAGGCTTGGCTTACACTGAAGACACTCCACATAACGTCAACAAACTGAATCACTGTATTCAGCTTTTAAAGGCTGGCTGGCTGGCTGGATTATAGTTACCTTTGATTACTGTCAAAGTAGCCATTGTTTTTGTGCCAAATGGCATCATCTATAGGTGTTTTTTCTTAATCTGAGTTGACAACGTTAAAACCTGGGAAAACGTCACATTACCATCATGTAATATTTAATCATTTACCAAATTTGTAAGGCCTATTGCAATATGAACATTGTCCTGCAAGATTGATGCTACAGTAGAAGAAGCTCAAATAAAAATTGTTTCATCAAATAAAAATTGTTTTAAGGAATGGGATTTGGAGTGTGCCAATTCTGTTGGATCACACTGATGGATGGATGGATACTATGGGAGGCACATAGTCCCCCCAAGAAAGGTAGTCCTTGACTTACAACCACAACAGAGCCCAACATTTATGTTGCTAAGTGAGAAATGTGTTAAGTGAGCTTGCCCCGTTTTATGACTTTTCTTACCACATTTGTTAAGCGAATCAGTGCAGTTGTTAAATTAGTAACCCGGTTGTTAAGTGAATCTGGCTTCCCCCATTGACTTGGCTTGTCAGAAGGTCGCAAAAGGGGATCACATGACTGCAACAGTCATAAATATGAACCAGGTGTCAAGCACCTGAATGTAAATCACATGACCATGGAGATGCTGCAACGGTCGTTAAGCATGAAAAGGGGTTATACACAGTGGTGGTATTCGACCGGTTTGGCCTGGTTCTGGCGAGCTGGTAGAAGCAATGAGCAGCGGAGACCGAACCAATTATCGCCAACACTATGCTATTGGGCCCGCCCACCCACCTGGGCTCCCATACTCACTTTTATCCACTGAATTTGAAGCGCAGCTGCTTTGCGCGGCACAGAAGAGTGCCGCGCAGCAGCTGCTGAAGTGACCGGCATCGTGCAGGCTTGCAGGAGGCAAGTTAGAACACCTGTGTGCCTGCGCAAACACCTCTGCGCCTATCCAAAGTGTGCGTTTGGCATGCACATGCACGCAAAGTACGTGCACACACGCAAAGCACACCCACCAAACCACGCCCACCAAACCGGTGGCAACAATCTTTGAATCCCACCACTGGTTATATGCAACTTTTTTCAGTGCCGTTGTAACTTTGGATGGTCATTAAGTGAACTGTTGTAAGTTGCGGACTATCTGTAGTTGGCCCTTTGTGTAATATTAATAGTACAAGAAAAGCTTCCAGGCAGAATTGTTTATCTCAGTGTTACAGATTAGGAATATGATATATTTCACGTGCAATTGGTATCTTCGGATTGCATAAGAAAGGTTCAACACGTTTTAAGCAATAGCTGATATTAGATCAAGAAAACCGACCCAGAGCTAACAATAAAGGGGACATCTATAGCACATATTCCAGAATTATTGGGTATACACTAACAAGAGGAACAGGTAAATAAAATCTATTTAAAAAGCATGATTGCAGTTACATAAGCAATTATGACATCCTTTACTCCCTTCTATTAAAAAAAAATGTTGCTTGCCCCGAGTTTCACCTGACAGTGTGGCATCAGAATAAAGATCTTAGAACTAGGATATGCCTAGGATGATTCAGAAAGAGGCTGAACTAGTTTCTGCCATTTACCACCTGCATTTTATAAGCTTAGTAGCTGAGCAAACAATTCCTAAAAGGTCATTAAAATAACATGAAGGCAAAAGGACAAAGATACTTTTCATTAAGCACAGCTTGTGTAATCCACTGACCTACGATTTTCTACATCTCTGATGTGGTAAAAGCACAATTTGTAAACAGGTTGGCAATCTAAGATAATTCAGAAACATACCATGGAGCACAGAGGGATTCTCTCTGTAAAAGCAGTTCATTATTGTGGCGTGAATTGTCCTTTTAGCAAGAAGTCTTAATCGGACGCTGCTCAGATATTCCTTTGTTTTATAGGAGGCCCAGGCAAAGACATTTGGCAACAAAAAAGAATTGGCGTGCAATGCATTTCAGATAGGGGATATCATCACGGATGAGTACTCTGGAGCAGTTTTATTCTTTCCATCTAGGAGGAGTGCTAGAAATGAATTAAGTAAACAGTCTCAGGACTCTGTCCATCCATCCCCCAGCAGAACGACGGCCCCAAACCACAGTGGAACCAAATCTCATGCAGCAAGAAAGGCCAACGAAAGGAAATTTAAGTTTCAAAATGGGTTGGTTCCAGCTGGGGACTGTAAAGAAAAAAAAAAGAAACTCCGGGGTGTGGGGGAAATCCTCACTACAGATGGACAGCAGCTCAAAATAAGGCTGACTTGTCCATCTAATCTCCCTCCCGCTTTCCTCCTCGTCACATGATGCAGAATGGAACAAGTGCAGGATTTCCTGGGCTTCCCACATAATTAATTCCTTCCTTCCTTCCTTCCCGCCCTCCCTTTTCTACTTCTATTATTTACGTAACATGTATCCACCCATTCTACCTTGTCCCTGACTGATACACACCTACACAGAGGCAATAATTAGTAAACGTACCAGTCCTTGAGGAAAAAAAATGTGCACATGTGCACACACACGCTATGTATTGCTTTACTAACACAGATGCATCTATGGCGGTGGCAGATAAAGAGGTGAGAAATAATTCCAGAAGCCATGTCTGGCAGGCTTGCCCTGCCTTGTTATTCTTTCCAACCCAATGGAATTTTGCAAAGAAATTACGTAAGGGAGGCCAGGACTCTGTCAGCAAATAAGCTCTGAAATCTAACAGAGCAGGATCAGAAATATGCCAGGTTTGACTAGGAGCTACAGATAAAAAAGCTCTCTGTGACTTGAAATGCGGGCAATTGTTCTGTTCCTAAAGCCCTCTGTTCTTTCTCTGGTGCCTGGAGAGGAAAAGAACTCCTCACATCATATGGTGCACATTTTTCCAATCTCATTTACCAGCTATATCTACACAGAACTAGGTCTTGTGAAACTGCATGATTTGACTCAGGGTTCAACGCAAAGTTGCAAGCTAGAATAAATTTCCAACGCTAGACCTCAAAGTTCTCAGTTCGGGATATCAAAAGGCAGAATCGTGTACAAGTAGCCCTCCACCACAATTCAAACCAGAATCTCAGTTGCTGAGTGAAGCGTGTCAAGATGTCACGTGATTGCCCGTGTGACCGCTTTGCTCAACAACCACAAGCCCAGCACTTCAGTTGCAGCCATTAAGCAAACTTGTGGATTATTAAGCAGGCAAAGTCTTGGGTAAAGAGCATGCGGTGTCAGGAGCAGGGGTGGAATTCAGCTGGTTTGGACTGGTTCAAGCAAACCTGATGTTAAATTTACACCTAGTTCGCCGAACTGGTACATGAACCGACCAACTGGCCCCACCTGCCCCTCCCAGGAATGTCCACGTGGCCTGTTTTGAATGCTGGTAAGTGCAGAGTCCACATGGAGGCTCTCAGAGGGCAAAAAATGGGCCTTCCGGAAGTCCAGAAACAGCTTCCGGAGGGAGAGCCTCTGGACCCACGGGGAGGCCGTTTTCACCTTCCCAGGGGCTTGAGGGAAGCTTCCGGACCCTGGGGAAGACGAAAACGGCCTTCCTGGAAGTTCTGGTAGGCCACACCCACCACGGCCCCGCCCACCCAGCAACCAGGCAGCGAACCGGTTGCTGGGATTTTTGAATCCCACCCCTGGTAGGGAGAGGTCAGAAGCTGAAAATCCTTCCTGGCAAAATCCAAATGGATTTTCACCTTGGCCTCCTCCCCACCTGTCTGAATCATCCCATGTTGCTTGCTTTACTGTGCCGCCTCTCTGCTCTCGGCATGGATTTTTGCTCCTTCTCCATTCTGGGGGCTGGACGGCAGGGCTGCCTGCCAAATGATTTCCGCTCCCCTCAGTGCACCGAAGGGAATTCTTTCACAGGGTACAGGAATGGAACTAAAATCCCCTGCTCCATTTCTGCACCCGGGTAAAGGATTTCAGC